CCCCCCCCCCCCCCCTATACTTTTTGACCAGTCCCTAAAGTTCTGAAGCAAATAATAAATGTCCAACGTTCAACGCAACTGACAAAAGTGAAGCACGAAACTCCTCAAAATTCAAGTTCAGTGTTTGCTAGAAATTCGGATGCATACACTGCAAGTCAACTCTTAAGACAAAACAAGACTTAAAACTGATACACTAAATGTACTTGAATAAAAAAGATCTCAAATAGTCCACGTTTTTAAGCATCTCTAAGAATGGTTCACTGCCAGTGGTATGAGATGTTGAACTGCGCGTCTCAACATGGTCGGTCTCCTTTGCGCATCTGTGTTGAGAACTTGAATCTTTGCTGACCTCACAACATTGTCCCTGCTCTTCAATAGCTCCGTGACTTTGGCTAGCTTCCACAAACAACGCGCAGATCCTTCTTCCTTCAAAACAACAATGTCTCCTACTCTAATGGATTGTTCGATAGCTCCAGTTCTGTTTCGGTGGTATTCACGCAACCCTAAAAGATACTCTTTACGCCGTTGCTTGGTAAAACCTTCAAGCAATCTGAAACGGTATCTTGCTCTCTTTGTCAATGACTGGAACGTACTGATGACATTGCAGTGTCTCTGGTGTGGCATGGTGGCGATTTGGCGGCCATATATCAAGTCTGCAGGAGTGAGTGGGTATGAGGGTCCTTCTTCATCATCATAGATGTAGGTCAATGGCCTGTTGTTTAGAGTAGCTTCTATCTCTACAACTAAGGTGCGGGGTTCCTCAAACGTTAATAAGGATCTTCCAACAGATTTCTTTAAGCACCGTTTTACACTACGCACGAGTCTCTCCCAAAAACCACCCCACTAAGGGGCTCGTTCCACGATGAACTGCCAATCAACTTGTCTGTTCGCAAGATACTGCTTCACTTCGCTAGACCATGAAATCTTCTTAACATCCACTGAAGCGGACTTAAAGGTTTTCGCATTGTCCGTCAACAAATTTGCTGGAAGTCCTCTTCGGCTAACAAATCTTCGGAATGCTTGTAAGAAGGACGTAACTGTCAAACTCTCAGTTAACTCAAGGTGGACAGCACGAGTTGATGCACATGTAAACAGACAACAGTATGCTTTGCTGCGGTTCTCATGCAGGCGATGCAGAGTTGACATAGAGTGGTTCGGCAAAATCTATCCCTCTGTACGTGAAAGGCGGTCCCTCATTAACACGATCTGTAGGCAAGTCAGGGGAGGAGGGAGCAGTGAATGGTTTCCCCTCATATCTTATGCATATGGTGCATTTTCTGATAACTCTCTTTACGGCTTCTCTTCCCTTCAGAACCCAATGTGTTTCTCGTATAGCATTCAATGTCTCTCTGACACCATTGTGGTGAACATGATCATGTCTCTCTCTGATCAACAGTTCTGTGTATCTGTGGCGCGAAGGTAGCAATACTGGATTCTTGCCTTCTTCGGTTGTGTCTGCATTGTTGATCCGACCCTTACAGCGAATAATCTTGTCATCGTCAAGAAATAGGTTGAATTGCTTCACGTGCTTACTTCTCTCATAACCATGAAGAAGGTCCTGTCGCTCCGTAGCAAATGAATGAGCTTGCATACCTCGGATCTATGTGACCTCTGCAAAGTTTAGATCTTCAACCTCTAGTTTCTTACTCTTGACTGCACCTCTGTCTCCCCTCAGTAACCGAATGAATTTCAACACGTAAGCAGTAACTCGCAGCAACTTCAACTTGCACCCATATCTTTCAATGTCCATTATTTCTTCCAGATTCTCATACAGTGTTCTATTGAGCGCTGCGGTTGCTAGTGATTGTGTTATGGCAGGTGTATGCTTGACTAATTCTTCAGAAGTCATGTTAAGTGCTAATGTAGATGGTGTCTCGGGCCACAAATTTGAAGGCTCCTTTAAGAAGGTCGGTCCAACCACCATAATTAACTTTCAACAAGATCCTTCCCAGAGCAACCTTAGCAACCTTTCTCATCTTAAGGAACCAACTCTATAATCCCAACTTCTAATTGTGCCTTGAAAATGCTGTCATACTCCTGAAATAAGTTCTCTTATTTCCTCAAACGTGCTTTCAAACAGTTAAATCTCATGACACAAATAAAAGCTGTCTGACTGTTTACATGATTCTTCTCTCCAGGGAAGGTCAACGTCATACCTTCCTTCATCCTTGTCAA